GCTGTGCTTATAGAAACCCTTTTCACTGGCCCTTCACATCCCTTAGAAGATCCAACTCCAGCTGACCCTTGGCTTTTTGGACTCCATTGCTGCATGCCCAAGCAGTGGTTCTGTATTTCTCCTGGATAGCCCATACCTAACTCTGCTTCCTTTTTACTTTCTGCATTTGAGCTCAGTCATGAGTTCCCTCTTCACCCATGCTGGCCTTCTGACGTGGTTGCTCAACCTTCTGCACTGTGGCGTGGACCAACCTAGTGCTTTGAGGAAACTGCCCTTGAAGATCAGTATTATCTTGGTGTACCTTTGTAACTCTAAAAGGTTTTATTTGGGGGAGAATTTGGGTGAATAGAGGTCCAGATAATTTAGATAAAGAGAAAAGATAATTTAGATCTCCTCTCCTTCTTTCCCTTCCCCACCAAAGAACCAAAGACCTTAGTAGGTCTGGAAGCACAGAGGGGTTTTTTCACTTCAACTAATTGTCCATCATAATAAGTACAACGATTTAAAGTCAAAGCATTCTTCCAGACTCATTGTGCCTTCACTGGGTATTCAGATACTAGCAATTCTGTAATGATGTGCAGCTTAGAACTAAAATGCATGTTAATTCCAGCAATAAAAGGATTTGACACATACAGCTTCTTAGGCTAACTGCTGGGTTGAACCCCTGTGAATTTTGAATAGTGCTTTACAGCACAACAGACACTGCCACTCCATAATTTTGCTGGACAAAGTTACTCTGTGATCCCAATAAAACAATAAATAAATGATTCTTCGAGGAAAGGATACATTGATTGTGGTAATGTTCATCATTGCAATTGCTAGAAGGTAGTGAGCTCAGATTTGTGCTTTGACTGATATTGACAATTTTCAAATTGCATTTCCAAAACCAGTCAGAAAAGCTCCTGAAAGTATCTTAATTTTTTTTTTTTTTGACCACTTCATAAATGGGCTTCTGGTGTGTTGACCTGGAAAGCGTTATCTCAGGTGACAGGATGTGTACCAAGCTCCCACCAGGTCTCTTTGATAACAGCTGAAGTATTTCACCTCTTGAAGTTGTGAGTTTACAGCAGGATGATAAACACACGAAACAGAGTAGTAAAAGTTTTGAGTTACATTAATTTTCATCCACCATGCCGATTTGTGACTGCATTCTCATGTGTGAGAACCTGCTCTTCAGAATTTTTCTTTGAAAATAACCAAAAAAAGCCCTTCCAACTAAGAATTGCTATAATTTTTGTCTGCAAACTGAATCTGAATTGCTGGCACAGCATTTGAAATCAGTGTTTCCTCTAAGTTAATGTAAATCAGTTTCGTGTTTTGGTTGGTATAAATATATGTGAATAAAAACCTATAGCAGTTTTTAAGGCAATGTAATTTTACAGTAGAAGAAATTACAGCCCTTGAAAGCAAATGCCAATAATATTTGACTGACTGTTACAAAACCTGCTAGGTGCTGCTAGGGCACCGATTCCAAAGGGTTAAGTCTGTAGTAAAACCCAAGAAGAATGCAAAATGATCAAGAAATGACATGCTGCCTATTGTTTGTAGCTATAGGATCAAAATAACAATTATACATGCCAAATAAATTCTAAACCTGTAAAGGAGAAAAAGAGGGGGTGGCTGTAAGTACAGGTGCCAGAAGCATTAAATAACCCTCTCAGACAAGGTGCACCACTGTTGTCTTGAATGCTGCTAGGTCCCCCCAGTCTGGCATTTTTCCCCCTGCACTAGACAATGTGCATTCACTGCAGGAGACTAGGTTAAGCCTGCGTCTCCCAGACCTGCCGGCTCCTTCTGCCCAACCCGACACAGAGGTGCCTTTGTCAGTATAATTACCCTCCCCTTGTAGTAGAAATAGTTTGTTTAGAGCCTTATTTGCAGGTAGAGCTGGTATAAGCAGGAATTAGCATGCTAAAGAACCTGCCCCAGCACTGATTTGGGCTTATTTATCTGAATCTTTGACAATCAGGTTGTTTTTTTTATTTTTCCTCCGTTGGTTTATTCAGTGAGATACTATCCGAGATTAAGAGCTTTAAGGTTATTAAAGAGATTGAAGATGGGAGCCAACTGGCTGCTGTGTGAGGGAGGCGCATGTCATGGTGTGTAGGATCTCCCAACAATTTCATGCCTGGCAGGTCTGCACCTTGGCTGCCAGAATAAACTTGGGCAGATGATCCTTACAGCTTTCTGGGGATTGATTAAAACTCCTTTTGGCTTTCAGCAGGTTGTCCACATCAAAAAGGTGCAAGAAGTAAAATAAATGTTTCTTTTGCTTTTCAAGATACTGTGGCCAATCTCCCTAAGCCTTCCTAATTGGCCTGGGCTGGTTGCAGATGATTAACTTTAAGTTAAATGAGGCCTGCTTTTAAACATGCTTTCCCAGACTTTAAACAGAACGATGGGGGGAAACTTTAGACTGTTGCGATGCTGGATCGGAGCCAAGCTGGGTTATTATTAAAGTGGATCCAAGTTTTGATCCAGGATTTGTTTACACTAAGCCAACTGAGTTGATGGACATCCCTCCCTCTCGGGGTACCTGAACACTATTAGAGATATTAACAATATGCTGTTTCTGCCCCATGAAAAATAAATTTTTAATGAAGGGGGAGGAATATTAGCAGCTCGGGTTAAGAGTTGCTCACATGTGGAGTTTATTGATTTCCTTAAGTTATTTTAACTATGTCGAGATATTTCAGAGTATGAAAAAAATGTGGAGGAAAAATGTGCACGGTGTTTAATGACAGCATTGCAAAGAAAAGAAAAGTAATGTGCCCTGAGGGCAAAGGCAGTGCGGAGATTTGCTCTGAGGAAAGCACACTCTAAAAATAAATCTTTGAAGGGACCGTGTTGGTCTGTGAATGTTTCGTTAGGGAGTTTCGTGATTTTTCTGAGGGAAATATAGTGCAGACATTTGATCATTAAAAAGTTGTTTTTTCATACAGAACTTGGTACAGTCCTGGTCTTGTCTTTTTATGGGAAGATTAAAGGTAAGCTGTGAAATGGGCTTCTGTTGCACACAGGCCAGAATTCTTCTGTCTCTGGTGAATACAAAAGATTCACCTTCTCTGTGCCCTCACAGTGAAGTGTATGGGCTTTGCAAGTAGTTTTAAGAGGAGAATGCAGCCTGGCATGGCTCTGTTCCGTGGTTCATAACCCCACTGCGCACAGGCAAACACCGGAGCATCTGTGACGACAGTGCTTCCAGTTCCTTTATGGCATTTTCTTTCTTTAAGTATGAAAGGTAGTTCCTTAGCCTATCTAGAAAAGCATAACGAGAACCAGTGACTGGCAGCATAAATCAGACAAATACAGCTGAGCAGCAAGGTCTTAGCAGCAGGAGTCATTAACCTCTGAACGGACTGTTGGGGGAAGCAGTCAGTTCTCAGCCTGCAAACGCCAAGAAATAAGCTGAGAAAAGCGTTGTGGGGAGCGGCTGGGGTTGGAGCAGAGCATGTTGTGCTCACCACAGTCCGTAACTGAGTCTGTGGCACACAGAAAGTCTGACTAGAAGATCTAACGGCTGTTTTTAGATAAATCTTTATTTTCTCAGAAGCATTCTCTGACTCCAAACTGCACATATCAGCATCTCCGGTGAACAGGCTCGCAGGACCTGCTTTTCCCATCATACATCCTGCTTGCCCGCCCCTGCCTTGCCTCGCTGAAAGGTGTCTTTTCAGTTTTTCTGACACCTTGCAGCTCTTGCATCTTTGCTTGATAGCCAGCATCCAGCTTGGATAAGCACTATATTTTCGCTGCTGTTACAGTACAAGCTAAGCTTACAGATACATCCAGGCATATCATTAGACTTAATTAAATTCTGTGGCTGTTAGCATGTCCTCTGTGAAATGCCTGGCAGTAAGCCATGCCCCAGTAGACTGTACACGAGAGAAGTACAGTAACAACAGCACCCCGGGAGGGCTCGTGGATGAACCTCAAGCAGTTTCACCATGATGCCACCCTCACTTCAAAGAGAGGAGCCTTAGGCTCATCCATGAACCATTTATTTCTCAAGCTTGAAAGATTTCGCCCATTTTCCAAAGCTACCTCCTATTTGTGCCTTCATGCTGGTCTCAGTCCTGGTGTGTTCAGGCTCTGGTGTCCTCTGGATCTTCATATGGGGGAAAAGCAGACTGCAGGTCGCTTTTGCTGTTGGAACATGGATGTTATTTGGTATCTTATTTTTGTTGACCTCCCCTAGTGGCTTTTTTGCTTTTGCTTCCACTTGAAAAACAGTTGATTGCTTGCTGTTACCTCAAAACTTTCCTTGCCTGTTTGTCACCCTCTTAGATTTGAAACCAGATGTGTTGCTGGTAACTTTGTTGGATGCTTGTACCACTAACACAAATTTATAGCAAAGTAAATTTAACAGTAAGAGCTGAAACTTAGGTGAAACAAATTGTATCCCAGATCACTAGTACTTTAAAAATCACAAGTAAACCATCCTGTTACCATTCTGCAAAAAAGTTAGTGTTATGGCCTTTCTTTCCTTCTTTCCTTCTTTCCCTTGATTTACGTCGCGTTATCAGTTGCCGTGTCTGCATGGACTGGGGACTATTTTCCCTGAAGTATTT